AGGAGGTAGCCTGACAGCAGCCACCTCCTGACAGAAAAGAACTGATGAGGGAAAGTTTTCTCTTGGTGCAGATTCTCTGTCAGTATAAAAGTGTGAGTGATACATTAGGTTTTATACAGTGAGATAGACAAAGTTTCATATGTCAAGTTTTGGAGCAAGGCATGAAAGTGAAGTGAAAAACAACAGTTACATCTTTTCTAACAAATACATAAGGCAAGACTTGAAGAGTAGTAATGGTAATAAACAGATAATCAAAAATAGACCAAGGGTTTTCTATAGCTATCTTGGCAACCACAAGTAGACCAATAGCCCAATAGTGAGGGCAAGGTATATAAACCTTCCTTTTCACTCCAGAAATTTCCCCTCACTCCTAACCTTTTACCACCACTTCCAAAACACTGATAAGCTCATAATTGAGGGTTCCTCAGTAATAAACATAGCTGCTCAATAGAGCTCTGTGTTGATAGATAATAAAGAGAAGGTCACCTAAATAGGTTGGTAACTTAAACTCAGAGAGCCATTGTCTTAGGAAAGCAAGGGTTGAGTCCCTATAATCAAGCAACAAAGAGCCTGTAGCTTGTACATTGAGGAATCACTGCCCTCATTTACTCCTCACTGGTAGCCTGGTGTGCCCCATGAGTTTTGGAAATTATCAGAGAAATATCAGAGAAGTATCAAGGTTTGGTCAGCAGCAATACAAAACCAAATACACAGATTCAACTGAAATTGATTTGAGCTGAATATGTCCACACTGGAATTATGCAGAAGGTCTGGAAGTCTCCAGATCTACAGAAGTAATTTCAGCAATTAGGCCCAAGTATTATTCTGAGTGCCTTCCAGGGAGTTCCCCCTTCAACTGACCAAACAAAATCAAGTTGAGGGCTCCTGAGAGGTCAAAAGTTGATTGCCCCACAGCAAAGTCCTAATATATTAGAACTCACTTTGTGTGAGGTCCTAGCTTCAGTTGACTGGACTCTCACTTTAAGAGTGCAATAATGAAAGGTTGTTTGAGTCAAAGACTCAGAGAAACCAAGGGTTTCTTCCCCAAATCCTCCTAGTGATGCAGAGCCTAGGATGCAGATGGGCACTGTGAATCCACTGGGTGAGCAGGAGAACCAGCCTGTCTGAAACACAGTGAGGGTGCTGAATCCCAATTTAGGGCTTCACTCAGTGGCACTAAGACATTTTGATCTTCTTCCCCAACTAGCTCCCTCTCAAGAACCCTAAAGACAAGAGGGAGGAGCTTTCCAGTTGGGGTGCAGTGAAGACAAGGCAGTGTGGACCTTGAAAGTAAAGAAACAGACAAAGAGCCCAAGCTATTTCTATTTGATAGAATAATCACCACACCCAGAGTGAGGTGAATGATTCTATGATGTTGGTGTCCAATTGATGTAGTAAATCCCAATTAAAGAGGAGTAACAATAAAAACAATGATATTTGAGGAATAGCAAGAAAGATCAAGAAGTATCAGAGGAACAACAACCATAACAGTGAGCAGTAGGAGAAGAGTAATAGAGTATGATCAAGGAGGAATGGAGTCAAGGAACCACAACTGTCACCCTGAGACTTGATTAAGAATTGGGAAATTGAATTCACCCCAACCAATTGAGGAAACTTGTATACATATATATATATATATTGACCAAACCAGAACACAAAGATCTCTTTCCCAAGATGGGGAAAGAGATCATGAGTCTTATCACTTTGTTTTTTTTCCTCAACTTGTTTCTCTTGATTACTTCACACCATTTTCTTTCTGTCTGTACTCAATTCAACCATTCCATTACTTATTAACTTTCTGTCAATGATGCTATCCTGACCATGTACCACCCTGTCCATATCAAGGTGACTTGTTGATGAGAGTAGATGAAGAACTTTTTTAGTTCTCTGATTGTTCTCATTTTTCACCCAGAGCCAGCACATGAGCCTTCCCTTTATGCAGAGTAACTTCCTTTTCCTTTCACTCAATGCACCATGCACTAAAAGGTGTGTACTGTATGCCTGTGTATCACTGCACAGTTCACAATTGTACTGATGTTCATGAGCTGACATCATGATGAACATGGATCAGTGACTTGTATTGAATGGAAATGAGTTACAAGGGTGGGCTTGAGCCCTTGGGCCACCACCCCCCAGACACTAAGGCACTAGATTTGAGAGGCATTTTGAGGTGATTTCAAACATGACACTGTGTGCTCTCACTGCCAAGATATTTGCATCGCATGGAAGCTTGCTATGTAACATAGCATGTCTTCATGTGATACTATGGACCATTTTTCAAGGTCCCTACCTTGGAAAATAGACCTATTGTATCACATCTTGGCCTGCTATGTGACATAGCATGCCTCTATGTGATGCAATTTTCTTGGTGGTGTATTTGTCCTGTCACATCTCAGTCCTAATATCTCTTTGTCCTTTTTTATGTTGTCAGGTCAGAATCCAGAGAGTTTCATTTTGTAGGACCAGGAGCTCACTCATGCACTTGCACTTTATCAGTTGCCAGACTGTGTCACAAACATACCAACAAATTCACATATGACTATCTCAGAAGAAGAAAGCTCAGGGATCACTTTCATAGTGTCTCAAGCTGTTGAGGTGTAAATTTTTTTATTGATGATTAATATTCTCCTCCTGGACAGAAGACCTGGGGACCTCCTTTTATACCCTGAGTCTCCAATCTTCCTTCACTATAGGCATTTCTCATTTCAGGGGGCTAACCTAGCCCTTACTGGTTTATTCTCTAATAAATGATATCCTTCATCTATTACAACTTACTTAGTCTACATTTACACTTCTTCATCTGGTGGATGATACTTGTGTAATGCCATCAGATAGCTTTATACATGTATCTACAGCTCTTGACACTGAGCCTGAGTTGTTACAATTGTTACACTACTCAATATATATTTACATCACTTATTACACATGTAATACATGTGTTACACTATGTATTACACCTATCCCTCTCAGTTACTATGTATGTACATGAATTGTTTCAGGCTGTGGGACTGTCATGCAGTCCTCAGGGCTGACAGTAATCACTCAACCCACCTTGAAGTTGATCAACTACACTACACTACACTACTCCACAAGTCAAAATCAATAAACCCACCCTGAAGTTGATCGATTATACTACACTACTCCACAACTGAAAGTCAATTGCATCTACACATGGTTTGAAGGGCTTGGTGTAATCAGGATGAAATAGTGTTGGTGCTGCAGTTAAAATTTCTTTCGCTTTCTTTCAAGCTTGTACCCTTTCTGCTGTCATTTCAAAGGCCATGTGTTTTGCTGTCAATGTTGTTGGCCATCTGGTGAACTTACCATAATCAGGTAGGTGGTTTGTGAGTGTTTTGAAACACAGATAGGAGCAGTCCTGAGATAGTTTATATGGGTGAGTAAGGGAGGCTCTGTTCTCCACTCTTGCCCTAAATAATGTGCTGACCTAAATAAAGATGACAGAAATAGAAAGAAAATAATGTTTGAAAGATGAGTCAGATGTGAATGAAATGTACATAGAGTTTGAGATCTTTTAGTACCTAAATATAGGTTGGAGATATGAATATTGGACAAGATGTGAAAATTAAGCTTGTGATCTGTGAAATAGATAAAGCTTTTTATCATGAGAAACAAAAACAATGATATATGGAAAGATTACATGGGCCAGATTTGATATGTTGAGATAGAGAGAAAATTAGAAAGTTGGGGTTACTCACAGTCTCTTTTCGCAGATGAGAAAAGAGACTGGGAAGTTTATGTGTAGGGGGTGAGAGATATATGAAGACTGGGGGTATGGTAGAAGCATTATTTTGATATGCTTGTGCCAATGGAATTGATACAGTGACATGGTTTCTATAGTATCCTGAAAATCCTAAAGGATTTGAGACCAGCCCTGAGAGCTGTTCCATGGAAAACCTGGCACAAAAAAACCCTTTTCTTTCTCTTTTTTTGGGGGGGGGAGGGGGGGTAGTTATTGGGCATGCCCAGGGAACCAAGGGTTTGTCACAAGGCAGAAAAGTATTTATTAGCTATGGTATTTGAACCCATGACTTGTTTTACCCCAAACTCTAGAAGGATGCTCTAACCACTGAGCTAAGTGTGCATGGTTAATCAAGTGTTAAGTGGGGATCTATGCATGTACAGTCTGACAACCTGGAATGGCATGTGCACTTACAACCTTAGTCTGGATACTGTAGTACAGAAAGCATGAAAAATGTCACTAAAGCAACACTCCCCCTTGTTCTGTACTTTCTGTACAAGGCTACAAGGAGCCATAGCACACATAGACATAACTGGCTCATGAAGATATGAAGCATGCACTGCTGGGCTCATAACCTGTCACAAAGCAGAAAAGTATTTGTGCACTATGAGATACCCATGAATTATTTGACCCCAAAATCTAGAAGAGTGCTCTAACTGCCAAGCTAAGTGCACATGGTTAATCAAGTGTTAAGTGGGGATCTATGCATGTACATTCTGACAACCTGGAATGTCATGTGCACTTACAACCTTAGTCTGAATACTGCAGTACAGAAAGCATAGAACATGTCACTATAGCACCAGGGTTTATAAGTGCTTAGCCTTGGGCTGAGAGGAATAGGATCAACTTTATCCCAACCTCTCTGAATTAGGGGAAGGGATTGAGTCACCTAAGGAAGTAAGATGAGGTGGGAAGATGAGAGACACCATCCCACCAATCAGCTTTGGTGGACTGTTGCACCACTGAATGCAGCTTCATATGCATGGAATACTGATGAAGTAACTGGAAGTCCTGCAGGTCATGTATGCAATCTAATCTGCAGGCCATGCATACTATCCATTCCCCCCACCCAGTAGGAAAAAAAAAACCCAGCTCACTGGTCTTGATGTACTGATTGAAGTGAGGTTGAAATCTGGGTGGGGGTAGGGGATGGCTCTAGGTGGCCAGAGAGGGGTAATTGGGCCCTGTAATATAAGGCATGGTGGGACCCACAACACCTTAACCCACTCCTCAAAAATCAAAACAGATCTAGACAATGGTGGTTTCAAAGCAAGACACCTATGGTGCACTGTTTCTTTTTGAAGGGCAAGATTATTTCAGGAAAAAAGTCCAACAGATAAAGGCTACCCATTGGAAAACTTGCTTGGCTTGAAGCCAAGGCACAGAATTTTTGAAAGATTATAAATATACAAAGCCAACCTCCACAGATGAAATCATGCCACTACATTGGACAGACAGATCCCTGGCCACTGAAAAGGAGAAACAGGCCCAGTTGCTGTTCAAAGTTACCTTGGTGGTAACTATGGAGGAAGACCTATCTGATGTTTTCATCCCAGCTGATCTACATACACCAAGTCCACAGAAAATGCACCTGATGCAGAGAGTGTACACATTTCTGCAGAAACTCACTTTTTTTTCCCTGTTCCCCAACTTTTCACCCACCAGAAATGCTGACCAGTATCTGGTGAGCACCTTCCAGTGGCCTGACTGGGCCTCATGCCTCAGTGTTGCATAATCTGGGGACAAAGCTGGGTCAAAGAAGGGATTCTTGCTGGAGAAACTTGGAAAGAAGTATGCTAAGAACACTGTTCATTTCTAGCTCCAGTATGGGTCAGTGCAACAAGAAACCAATGAAAGAGCCCAAGCCAACATCAGAAGAGATCCTCCACAAGATAACAAGAAGATGACATCAATGAGGGGACACTCTTACCTAGCTCCAGTATGGGTCAGTGAGGGAAGGACCCAGATGGAGCTAGGGTCAACTATTATAGAGTGCTGTGTACTATGTACTGTTGACACCATGTAACCCCATATGTGATAACCTATGTAAGGGAAACCCTTACACTCAAGGCTTGTCATTGTCAGTGATACCATAGATCATTTACAATTCATCTCTTCTTTTAGACTCACTGGTGTCACCAGACTCAGATGAACTATTGCTGGGTTTCATTGACAATGTAGGTCATGCAGCAGCACATGAGAATATTGACCATAATGTTGCTAGGCTTGAAAAAGTAGGTCTTCAATCACTTCATTGGAGTAGAAAACACCCTGTGATGAGTGGTCATATGCTTATGAACCATGCCATATTAAAGTGATCCACACCTACACTTAGGTTGTGCTGTCTCCTACAGATTCCCATCACCCTGGATACTAACTGGATCCCCTAGTGGTAAAAGCATCACATTGACATTGTGTCTCACACTGCAGGCAATGAGGTGTTGCATACAGGCTTGCAACAGGTGGACATTTCGCATAGTGTGTCACATGCTGTATGTGCGACATATCAAACTCCGACTGCATCAGTTACAGTTGTGTAGTGACAGAAAGGGCTGTTCCCCTTTGAGCTGTGACACCATACACTACTAGTGTATATTTCTTTAGACCCTAAGACAGAAAGTCTTCACATCTGGAATTGGCCACCATACCAATTCTCCTCACATTCTGATTTCTCAATCCAAATCCATGATCCATCTGATTTTTCACACCTTCACCTTCAAACCCTGACCAACATCAACACACAAACCTCCAGTCTGGTGCTGCTTGGCCCACCTGTTGCCCTCATGCAACAACTTATAAGCCATTCG